TCAGCTTCAGCATCGGTCCTTCAGGTATACACGCCTATTATATATAGTCGTCCATATCTGTCAACCCCAAACTTGCAATGTATGTCCTCCTTCCCATTCCACACCCAGTACTTTTCTATGTATGGGAAGATGCAAAAGTCCAGGTTCCCTGAAATCTTCCCTCTGACATGTGCCTCAGTATCTGGGCCGGCATCCTGTGCTTTCACCCCTGAGTCCTCTCGGGGCACACCATGTGGGGTGGCTGTGCGGGTGGGAATCCTGTCTCCATCCTGAGTCTCCCTGGGACTCACCTTTGATGGTGGGAGGCGTGGTGTGGCTGTAGTGGCTGGTGGCCACAGTGTCCTTTGCGGATGTGGCAGGAGGTATACTTGGTCCACAGCTTTGATTTTGTGAAAGGAATAACTTCCCACAGGTTCCCCAACATTTTCCCCCCAAATCTCATCAATGGATTTCTTTTTCTCTCTCTAACCCCCGCAGAATGCAACATCAGTGAAGTCTATCCCAACCCTCTGCAGAGTTTCCAGGAATTCCTTGAGCCGCCAGTGACCCTGCGCTGGAAGCAGAGGTGAGCTCCCTGGCTGAGGGTCTGTGACGAAAGGCCGCCCGCGGGTGGCGCAGTCCCTCCCCTCCCGCGTGCCAGCAGCTGCTTCGCGGCCTGGGGCCCTTCCCAAGGCCCTTGCTGTTATTCAGTCGCCCAGTCGTGTCTGACCCTTTGCGACCCCGTGGACTGCAACACGCCAGCTCCCCAGTCCTTCAGCACCACCCGAGCCTGCTCAAACTCATGTCCCCTGAGTCAGTGACGCCATCCAGCCATCCCATTCTCTGTCGTCCCCTTCTCCTCCTGCCCTCAATCTTGCCCAGCGTCAGGGTCTCTTCCAAAGAGTCAGCTCTTCCCATCCGGTGGCCAAAGTATTGGAGCTTCAGCATCGGTCCTTCTAAATGAATTTTCAGGGTTGATTTCCTTTAGGATGGACTGGTTTGATCTCCTGCCAGTCCAAGGGACTCTCAAGAGTTTTCTCTAGCACCACAGTTCGAAAGCATCAATTCTTTGGTGCTCAGCCTTCTTAAGTATCCAATTCTCATATCCATACTTGACTACTGAGGAATAGCTATTGGGGAGCATTATACTGGTTGAAAAAGTCTGATAGTATCTGGACCCACATTCATCTGATCAGCAGAAAAGAGAAGCAAACACACTTAACATTCACCCTAATGTGAGGCAGTAGAAAGTGCACGAACACAGTTATGAAATATTCTTGCTGTACAACTAAACCTGAACCTGATCAAGACTCTTGATTTAACTGCAAGTTTACAGAAAATGCAGGTGGTAGAGAGCAGGTTAAACAACACGTAGGCTTTGGAAAAACAAATTAAATTCAAAATACGGAAAAATCTACAGGACAAACAACCCAATTTTTTTCAACACATAGGTGGTGATAAAAAGAGAAGAAAAATGGAGTGGAGATCTTGTTTGAATTTTTATTCAAGCAAATCAATTATAAAGAGATGCTTATAGGTAAACTGAATGCTAAATAGATGGTCTAAAACAGCCAGAAACCGCTAATTACTTTATCTGTGTTAACTGCACTGAGTGCATGTGTATATTTTATTTTATTTATATGTGTTTTTAAAGCTTTGTTTATTTATCTTTTGGCCGCGCTGGGTCTTTGCTGATGCGCCTGCACGTCTTGCTGGTCGCGGCGAGCCGGGGGCTGATCTGTGGTTGCGCCCCCTCGTGGTGACTTCTCGCTGCAGACTAGCAACACGTGCAGGTCTCCTATCTTGACGGACACCCTTGCTTCAAGGGTTGCCTGAATGCTTTCAGTGAACTTGTAACAACAACGATAAAAATTTGTTGAGCATTTACTGAGAATCAGACACTGCGTTCTGTACTTTATATGGATTCTTTAATTTGTCCTTAAAGCAAGTCAGTAGGATGTGTGCCCTATTTCTTCGGATTCTGCAGATGATAATCTGTAAATTCATAAAGATTCTGGTCTCGAATACAATTTAACACTGGAACATGGAAAAACAGCTGATTCCATTTTGGGAGAAAGCAGGTTCTTCATAAGACTTAACTAAGTTTTTTTTTTTTAGTGTTAGAGATTTTCATGCTGGAAAGCAAGAAAATACTTAAAAATTAATAAGATCATGTCAAATGAACACAGCAGTTGATCTATAAGGGAAACCCCTGGCCAAAGTTATAATTTGAGCATGAAAAGAAGACTAACGCTTGTAAAACACATAAATGCATTCATCCAAACCCACAATAATACACAGAAAATTACAGAAAGAAAATTAACAGAAATGAGTTTAAAAGAAGTTGATGAATATTATTGATTATTCTTATCAAAGGATAATCTGAAAGCTTCTAATGCTTAGTAATTCTTTAAAAATTATATGTTGGAAGAATTTCAAACTTATTAAAGTTCAAGAATTGTAAAATGAACACCAGGTACTCTTAAACTAGAGTCACATTATTAATGTTTGGAACATTTTCAGACTTCGAGACCCTTTAATCTTTAAATATGTCGTGTATCTTATAGGTGCAAGGGTGTTTTATCATATAACCACAAAAACAGGAAAGAGACTTTATTAGACTTTTCTTTTAGAGGAGTCTTGCATAGAGTCTAAGAGTTCTCAAATAATGCCAATGATGTTATTTTGGGGACCAAACTTGAAGGGACTGAAATAAGTGTGTGCACACGCAGTTGAGGCAAATTATGGACAAAAAGATACAAAAGACCACAAACACCCAACTGCTGCTGCTTAAGAGCTGGGAGCAAACAGCATGGTGCTGGAGCAGAACCAGAGTGCTGAGCATGTGTGTGTGTGTGCACGCATGTAGTGAGCATGTGTGCATGTGTGTGAGTGGGGCCTTTACCTCCGATTGCAGAGCCGAATTCCAAGCTTAGACGGACTAACAGAAACAGGCTCTTGACCCGGGGGATCACCTTCGTGCAGGCGCTGTTTGCTGCCGGCTCTGGTGCTCAGGCTGGGGCAGGGCTGGGGCAGGAACCTCTCCCCCAACCCATCCCAACCAGGAGGAGCAGCTCGGCAGACCAGCAGCCAGACTCTCCCCTGAGACAACGGTCTGACCCGCACAGACCTGGGCATCCTGCAGTGCGGTGCCAAGGTCAAGAGGAGCAGCAGAAACGCGCGCTGGGCCGCCCTCGCCCTCCGCTTCGTTCTCAGCAAGTCCCCGCCTCGCGGGGTCTGGGTGTGCCCCCTGCCCTCTCCCCAGACTCACCGCGCCGTCCCCGCCACGAACCGCCGAGCTTCAGCTTGTTCATCAAACACAGCGCAGCACCTCTTTACCGTCTGAGGGCCTCTGGTGGCTTTACGGAGCTCCGTTTTTAGGAACGATAGTGAATTATTTTCTCCGGAGTGAGAGTGGGGATTGAACGCTCTGCACGTCAGCGTTTCCTTGCTAATTCTCCTGCTCTATCGCGCACACGCCTCACACAGTGTCTCATATCCGGGCAGGCGTGTGCTCAGGCGCTCGGTGCTGTCAGACTCTCTGCAACCTCATGGAGCGTAGCCGGCCACACACCGCTGCCTATGGAATGTTCCAGGCCAGAACACTGGAGTGGGTTGCCAGTTCCTCCTCCAGGAGACCTTCCAGACCCAGGGATTGAACCCACGTCTCTCGTCTCCTGCATTGGCAGAAGGATTCTTTATCACTAGCGCCACCTGGGAAGGCGTATCTTTGTATGTAACGTATTTAATGTACCTGTGAAGCAGCAATAAGAGAGGTAACCTCTACAGACCTAATGAGCAGAGTCTACCTGCTCTTCAGTAAGGGAAAAGCCACAGAAGGTCAGGACGAGGCCATAAAGGCCAGGAGGGAATATCCTTCCCTGGAAAAAGTGCAAAGGCTCTCCCCACCCCCCACCCTAAGAGCCCCAGGGGAATCCGTTCGGGGCAACACGTGGCTGATGAGGAGGCGTGGCAGGGATCTTAGGAGAGTGGGGGACAGAATGTGTGCACCCGCGGCGGAAGGACCAGCCGCTGCTCACGCAGAGACCTCTGAGGCAGGCGCATCGCGACCTGAGTGCAGGGGCAGGAGCTTGCCTGCCGGCCATTCACATGGCCTCCCCGGGGCCCCAAGCACCCACGCCTTCACAGTGATCGCAGTCACATGCCTTCCCAGTGATCACAGACACGTGCCTTCCCAGTGATCACAGACACACGCCGTCACGGTGATCACAGATACATGCCTTCCCGGTGATGACAGACACACGCCTTCACAGCGATCGCAGTCACACACCTTCACAGTGATCACAGACACACGCCTTCCCAGTGATCGCAGCCACACGCCTTCATGGTGACCGCAGCCACAAGCCTTCACGGTGACCGCAGCCACATGCCTTCACGGTGATCGCAGTCACATGCCTTCACGGTGACTGCATCCACACACACATGCCTTCATGGTGACCACAGCCACACACTTTCACGGTGATTGCAGACACACGCCTTCACAGTGATCATAGCCCCATGCCTTCCCAGTGATCACAGCCACACGCATTCACAGTGATCACAGACACACGCCTTCCCAGTGATCCCAGCCACATGCATTCACAGTGATCACAGACACACGCCTTCACGGTGATCACTGACACACGCCTTCATGGTGATCAGAGACACATGCCTTCATGGTGATCACAGACACACGCCTTCCCGGTGATCACAGACACACGCCTTCATGGTGATCACTGACACACGCCTTCATGGTGATCACAGACACATGCCTTCACGGTGATCACAGCCACACACATTCACAGTGATCACAGACACACGCCTTCCCAGTGATCACAGACACACGCCTTCACGGTGATCACTGACACATGCCTTCATGGTGATTACAGACACACGCCTTCACGGTGATCACAGACACACGGCTTCATGGTGATCACTGACACACGCCTTCACGGTGATCGCAGCCACACGCCTTCACGGTGATCGCAGCCACATGCCGTCACGGTGATCACAGACACGCCTTCCCAGCGATCGCAGCCACAGTTTATTCTTCCCTCCGCCGAGCCCTGCCCCCCGTCACGTCCTCAGCCCCCCCCGGCTGGCGCTCAGGCCCGGTCACAGCGGCTCACAGTTCCACTGGTTCCAGTCGCAGGGCATGGGCATGTGATTGAGGCTCTCACTCATCTTGTGCATGATCTGGTTCTTGGGGTCCACGTGAGAATACACGGGGAAACCCCGCTCGAGCAGACACTGGGCCTGCTGGTAGATGACGTGGGTGACGAGCCCCTTGGCCCGGTACTCAGGCAGGGTGCCTCCCATCCGCATCTCTCCTGTCTGGTCCATCAGGGACCAGGACACAGGGGTCCCCTCGGGCCCCAGCAAGCAGAAGGTGGGGAGGTTCCAGATGCAGCGCTCGATGAACCTCCGGCTCCTCTCGTTACCGCCGAAAAGCCAGAACCTGTTCACCAGAGCCGCGTGGCTAGGCTCCGCAGATGCGAGCTTAAACATCTCTGGGTCGCTGTGGGTGTTCCAAGAGAAAAGCAGTCTGTGAGTTTAGCGGTTTGCACCTGTCCCCACCGCTATTAGCCTGAGAGACAGAGGAGGCGGAGGAGAGAGGGGGCACAGCGCCCTGGACTGTGGCCGAGCTTGTCAGGACCAGGACGAGACAGAGGCCATGCTGCTGGACTGAGCGAGCTGGAAGGGCCAGGCAGGCAGGGAGGTGGGCAGAGGCCTGACACGCTGCGGAGGAGAGGGCCTGGTGGCGTACTTTAAGCCGGGGAGAAACACGGCTTGAATTAGATTTTTAAAAAGCTTGTTCTGGCTGCTTTGAAGAACATAGATTGTGGGGAGCCAGGGTGAGAGCAGGTAGAGAAGGCTGGAGGCTACTTGCGCAGTGAGAGGTCNCAGCCAGGAGCCAGCCGATAGTCAGACCATCAGTCAGACATAAGTGAGGCCATGCTAGAGAAACCAGCCCACGGCCCACCCATCAGCTGACTGCAGATGCATATGGTAAACCCAGAGGAGACCAAGAGAGCAACTGCCTTGCTAAGCCCAGCCCAACTGTCAGTTCACAGAATTATGGGCTTTGCTGTGCACTGAAATGAACTGAAACATCCAGGCATTGTACTAGGCATTCCCTGCTCAAGATTTCATTGAATCTTTTCAACACTGCTGTGTTTTGGGTCCTTCATTGGAAGTACCGATGTTGAAGCTGAAACTCCATCACTTTGGCCACCTGATGCGAAGAACTGGCTTATTTGAAAAGACCCTGATGCTGGGAAAGATTGAAGGCAGGAGGAGAAGGGGATGACTGGATGGCATCACCGACTCAAGGGACATGAGTTTGCATAAATTCCGGGAGTTGGTGATGGACAGGGAGGCCTGGCGTGCTGCAGTCCATGGGGTTGCAAAGAGTCGGACATGACCGAGCAACTGAACGTCACTGAACTGATTGTCCTCATTTCTATATACATATCATGATCTGGGATCATGGTCTCTGGCTGGGATCACGTAACAAAGTCACAGGCAAATGCCATCCTAGTTGGTCTGACTCTGGAGGGGATGCTCATAACCATGACAGCTGCTCTCTGTGACCTGAGAGGTGATCTGAGACTGGAAGTCCCTGAGACAAGCTCTGCTCTGATACCCTACCACCCTAAGCCACCCTGGTTATGTCTGCAAGTGAAGTGAAAGTCGCTCAGTCGTGACCGACTCTTTGCGACCCTGTGGACTATACAGTCCATGAGACTCTCCAGGCCAGAATACTGGAGTGGGTAGCTGTTCCCTTCTCCAGGGGATCTTCCCAACCCAGGGGTCGAACCCAGGTCTCCCACATTGCAGGCAGATTCTTTACTGGCTGAGCCACAGGAAAGTCCCAGGTGAAATCTGCTCTGATACCCAACCATCCTAAGACATCCGCTTACATCTGCAAAGTGTGGTGCAAATCCTCGGCCATCCGGGGATTATGTGCAGTCCTGTCTACGAAGCCCAGACACCCTTGGAGGGTGTCTCTCCCCCGTACGGGTACGGTTGTGGTCGAACAACAACAAAGTTGAGAGCAGGCTGAGGGTCTGGCGCTTGAAAAAAGATGTCCATGACAAGAAGAAATCGCTAGGATGGAGGTGTGAGTCAGCACGGATTCCACGCCTTTCACTTACTTTGGATCTGCAGATGTTGTTTCCAATTGATGACTTCTGGTAAGTCAAGGAACTCCTGACAATTCTTAAGGTCTTCAGAGTAGACTTGGTAAGTATTGGTGTAGTGATCAAGCTCATCTTTCATGTCCTGTCATCATAAATAATGGGGGACAAAATTAACTTCTTATTTTTCATAATTTTAATACTTTTTTTCTAAAATCTACTAAACTGGCACTTTAAGTACTAAAATATTGCTCTCTGTATTTGTGCATTACATATTTTTCTGAATCATTTAAGTTATGAGATCAGAATAAGAGATTAAGGTATTCAAATTATGATGAAAAACTGAAGAATATTATACGTTGTGTCAAAATTTCAGCTCAAACAAAGGCACAACCATCTAGAAAGCACTTTTCTATATTTTCATTTCCTCAACAGCGATAAAAGCAATTGACAAGGAAAAGTTTCTGTTGCAAGAATAAATGTTTCGTATTTCAAATACTTGTTAAATATACCAACTAGAGGATGACAGTATTAAATTTAGATATTGATAATTCTGGGTTGAAATTTCTATCTATACTTAATCAGGATAAAGAAGATGAAAACCTATTGGAAATGCTTACTTACATAATACACTAGTTGAACAAGCTGTAATTACAGAAAAACAATGAAATCACTTATGTAGAAAAATCCTGTCAAATTATTAAAAAAGGGGTGAGATTATTTGGAAGAAAAAGTCACAGAAAAACATAACCACAGCTAGTGCAGAATTATAGAATTTAAAAAATGTTTGGAATATGTTTCATAAAAATAGATTCACAACTCAGCAATGATACCACTAACAAATTTTGTTTCTTAATATCCCATTGAAGATAAAAGATCAAATAATTTTATTTCAGTTCAGTAAATGTATTCATTAAATATATTTTTTGTCTCTAGTTTTAAAATAATATTATTTTCAGGAAAAGTATATTTATATATTTATAAAGTTATAATTTTACTATATATTTTAAAAATGAACCTAGAATGCTTTGTCTTTAAAATATTAACTTTTTGTTTCACTACGTTTTCACATTTTTCCAAAATGCGTGCAGAAATTCTAATATAAGTTTGCTTTTATAATCACCTTAGCTAACTGTCTTGTTTTATACCTTCCTATTTTTGTCCTTGCTACTTTCTCTGGTTAGAATGTCCTCTGTTCTTTATCGGCCTAACAAAATGTATTTATCACCAAAATCCAGCTCCGATGAAACATCCATTCAGAGCTATCTCTCACCTGATTCTGTAACTTCCGTCTTCAACCTCCATAGCTCATCAATTTTCATGTCTTTGTATGCTGTACATGTTCTGTTCTTCTACACGTTATGCTAAATTATAATTTATTTATCTATCTACATTTCCCTCCAAACTCTGAGTTTCTTGAGCACAGGGATCTGTTCACTATCACTGCACTTCATCTCCATATCTCCAGTGTCTACCACATTGCCAGGCACATACTAAGCACATAGCAAATATAAACATAGCCCATTCATTCCACCCCTGGCCCTTACCTGCTCCTGGGGGCGGATAACCACTGTATTAAAATCAGGCCACTTGTCCACCAGAGCCTTTAGATTGAATGGGTTTCCATGGTTCATGTGCGTGACGGTCCCATAAACCTGCAGTGTCCCGAGAAAGTGAGAAGGTCAGCCTATCAGGAAGGGATGGCAAAGTACCTTCTTTGATCAGGACAAGGCTTATTTCTATGAAATCATGAAATTTTATAGTGGAGAAAAGACAAATAGGGCATCTATGTCAAAAATATCCATGTGAAACCTTTTTTTTTTTTACCTGAAAGGAGAAATTTTTCTTCCCATCTAATATAAATAAAATTGCCAACATCTATTGCATCATAGAAAAAGCAAGAGAATTCCANCACACACACACACACACACGCTGCTGCTGTTGTTCAGTCTTTCAGTTGTGTCCGACTCTTTGCAACCCCGCACGCCAGACCTCCTGTCCTTTTCGATGGCCCAGAGTTTGCTCAAACTCCTGTCCACACAGACATGTGGTTACATCTAAATTCCACTGGAATGGACACCATCCCTTTCATTGCTAAGAAAAAACACAGGCGAGGACCTCGGTCAATCAGTAGAGCTGCTATGGAACAGTTCTGGATGGGGGCATTTATGAGTATGCCCTATTCAATCCTAACGTTTCTGATCAATTGTACTAGGTGAACAGAGATCCTCAGTGTCAGCCTGACTATCAAAATAGTCTGATGTGCAGTATGTTCAGAGAAATTGGGAAATTTAAGTCAAATAGAAATTGATTCATTGGTAATTTCAAAGGAGGCTCGTGGTCTGGCAACTGTTCTTTCAGGGAGAAAAAGTTAAAAATTAACATGCAGTCTTAGCTAACTTTGTAGGAGAGCTCTGGGCAAATTCCCAGTGCTGTTATGGAATGTTTCTTGAAAAGGAGCAAGGGAATACTTTTTGATTCAGCTTGGAGAAAAAAGCAATGTTAGGTCTCAGGCATTCCTATGTTCATACCATAGCACTGCAGCTCACTATCTGTGGGCACCGGGCAAGCACTTCACCAAGCCTCCCTCCTCACATCAGTGATGTGGGCATAACAGCGATCATCTTGCAGAGAGGTTGTGCACATTGAACCAGAGGAAACATGCTCTGAGGCCTGGCACAGAGCAGGCACTGAGCAAACACTCGTCTCTCTTCTTCGCTCGCAGGAACTTCCTAGTCCTCACTCCCCACGGGGAGAGCTCCCCAAGAATCTGCCATTCTCACCTTCAAGGACGTAGGAAGGCTCTTCTTCAAGGATTTCTCCAGCATCTGCAGCATCTGGGCGCCTTGCAACAGGAACATCCTGCAAGACACCGAAGCCTAGAGAGACACCTGGGAAAGAGCCGTGAGTGAGAGGGGCTGGAGGAGACCCAGGTGCAAGAGCAGCGGGCTCTGTACTGATTGCCAGCGCCCTCTTCAGCGCCTCTCTGATTTCTCATGTGTGTACAGCCTTAGTCTAATCACCTCTAGTTATAAACCGACATATACATACTGATATAGAAAAACCACGCAAATACATAGTCCCATTTTCAACACCTAAAAGTTAAATGTCTATTTTGATCCATGTGTCAAAGAACTGGCTCATTCATTCACATTGTGTTTATTTTTAAAAATGGGCGCATAGCTGATTTAAAGTGTTGTGATAGTTTCTGGACGATGATCCCTGTTTATTTCTTCGTTCAGACAGAACAGTCCCTCCCTTTTCTCTGCTCTTGTTAGTGCTCTTGCATACCTGTGTTACAAACTTGGTACTCTGGGCTAGAGTTTGCTTTTCCAGACTGTGTTCTCCTCTGGGGCAGGAACCTCATCTTATGTGTTATCCTATCTGTTACCTTTATTGCACTCGGCTCAGTTCAGTCGCTCAGTCGTGTCCGAATCTTTGCGACCCCATGGACTGCAGCAAGCCAGACCTCCCTGTCCATCACTGACTCCTGGAGTTTACTCAATCTCAGGTCCATTGAGTCGGTGATGCCACCCAACCATCTCATCCTCTGTCATCTGGCACATGATATGCTCTCAGTAAGTGGGTGATGAGGATGATTTGGTGCAAGAAATGCTGTATTTACCTGTTTAGTAACTCCATCTTCCAGAGACATAGATAGATTGATTAATGCAATCAACATATATGTATTGAGTACATAATATATGCTGGATGTGGGAAAGGTTTCCAGTTGCTTTGTTCTAAGTTATATCTTGCAGAAAAGCCCAGACCCTTGTTGTGTATTGTAGGATTTTTATTTATTTATTTATTTATTCTATTTATTTACTTCTGGTTGTACTGGGTCTTCCTTGCTGTTCAGGCTTTCCTCTAGTTGCAGCGAGCCGGGGCTGTTCTCAAGTTGCAGAGCATGAGTTTCCCCTTGCACTGCGGAATTTCTCCCTGCAGCTCGAGGGCTTCTCCCTGCAGTGTGGAGTTTCTCCCTGCAGCGCGTGAGCTTCTCCCCGCAGTGCGGAGTTTTTCCCTGCAGTTCGGAGTTTCTCCTTGCAGTGTGGAGTTTCTCCCTGCAGCGCGCGGGCTTCTCCCCGCAGTGCGAAGTTTCTCCCTGCAGTGCGGAGTTTCTCCCTGCAGTTTGGAGTTTCTCCCTGCAGTGCGGAGTTTCTCCCCGCAGTGCGGCATTTCTCCCTGCGGTGTGGAGTTTCTCCCTGCAGCGCGCGGGCTTCTCCCTGCAGTGGCTTCTCTTGTGCAGAGCATGGTTTCTAGGGCGCGTGGGCTCAGTAGTTGTGGCCCCGGGCTCCAGAGCACAGACTCAGTAGCGGAGGTGACAGGCTTAGTTGCCCCATGGATCGTGGGATCTTCCAGGAACAGGGGTAACACCCGTGTCGCCTGCATTGCCACGCAGAACCTTTACCACTGACCCAGCAGAGAAGACCTGTTTGAAGATCTTAGGATTGTAAACAGGATAGCATTCCTGAAGGCTAATCTTACCTTTTATCTGGAGGCAACTCACAAGGAAGTTACCTGAGTATAAGATGACCCCGGTGGGGTGAGGTCAGAATAGCCATCATTAAAAAGTCTATGAATAATAAATGTTGGAGAGGTTATGGAGAAAAGTGAACCCTCCTCTACTGTTGGTGGGAATGTAAATGGATGCAGCCACTATGGAAAGCAGTATGGAGGTTCCTCAAAAAAACTAAAAATAAGGTTGCCAGTTGATCCAGCAATCCCACTCGTGGGCATATATTCAGACAAAATTATAATTCAGGAAGATACACGTACGCTTATGTTCATAGCAGCACTATTTACAACAGCCAAGACGTGGAAATAACCCGAACCTCCATCGAGAGATGAATGGATAAGGAAAATGCGATACGATATATGTACACACACACACACACACACACACACACACACACACACACACATATACAGTGGAATATTATTCAGTCATTAAACAGAATGAAATAACACCATTGCAGCAACATGGACGGGTTAGAAATTATCACACTGAGTAAAGGAAGTCAGAAAGAGGAAGATAGCCACCGTGTGACATCACCCGGACGTGAAACCTAAAACGTGACACAAGGGAACATACGCATGAACCGGAAGCTGACCCACAGACGCAGAGAACTGACTTCGGTTGTCGGGGGCGGTGGCGGCCGGGAAGGGCAGGATTGGGAGTGCGGGATTAGCAGAGGTGAGCGCTCACATACAGGATGTTAGGCTAAAGGCAAAGCCCTACCATACCGCACAGGGCACTACACTCGTCCTGTGATAAACTACAGTGGAAAGGAATGTGGAAAGGAATATATAAAAATGTATAGGTATTCAATATGTATAACTGGATAATTTTGCTGTACCCCAGAAATTAACACAACATTGTAAATCAACTATACTTCAATAAAGTTTTTAAAAAATCTGTGAGGTGTAATATTGCCATGTTTCCTGGAAAGCATAGGGTTTAGAACCATCCTTCAAGAACGCACACGGGAACCAACAACCAAACTTGGTGGGTACTGAAAACAACGGAGCCTGAGATTCATAAATCAAGTAGGCTGGAAACAATCAAAACAGGGATCTGGACACCCTATAGGGCTTTGGCCATGCTCACCGTGAGCTGGCAGAACTGGGTAACAGGCAGCGTCCTGGGGAGTGAAATCCGAACCTTTGACTTAGTTATTCCCAGAAGAAGAAATTAACCCAAAGAAAACAATCCAAAAGGAAGAAAAAAGCTCTCAGCAGAAACTGATAAAGCTACATGAATGTAAGCAAAGACTGAACAAAAGCCCAGTGTCCAGCCACAGAGAAAGGAAATATAAACTATGATACAACTCCATGAGAGTCACCTCATTCTTCATACATAGGGACAGGTGAGAAACAGTTAAAATGAGAAAATGTAGGACATAAAACAGTTCATATGCCACATACATAGGCATAAATTCAAAAGAGAACACAAAAGGTGGATTGTGGTAGTAGCCAAATAAGTGAATTCTTTAAAGCAAGTTTATTACATGGTTGAAATGAACAGCAGATCAGTTCTGCATTATCGTCCTTTCTCATCTGCTCACTTCCTCTCTGACATGAACCACAACAACTTTCTTATCATTCAAGGAGACAAAAAGCTGCTTATCTTAAAATAAGACCAGAAGGATTAAACAGGGTAATGTTTAGATCATCTTCAGATATTAAGTGCTCCTTTTACCCACTCACTTCCGGGAAATGCCCAGATCTTTCCTCATTCCTTTATTAGTTCAGATCTGGAAAATGCAAGAGTTTTTCATGGCACCTAACAAGTTGCGTTTTACAGAATAGGTGCTGGATACACTTTTCTTAAGTTGAAATTATTACTTTTCATATATTTACCATCATATTCTGAGCATAATACAATATGAGCACTCTGATTTGCCTTACTCATGTAAGTGGAGAAGATGTCGCAAAGCAACGATTATCCGTTTTGTTTTTGGAACGGGTACTTACCTGAAAAGCTGTCTTCACACCAAGCTCTGCAGGAGCAACTGAAGAGGCGCAGTCTCTAGACGCTGAAGTTTCTCTTTGATGCAGTCAGTTCAGCGGTGCCCTGCTGAGTGCCTTTGAGGACGTGTTCTCCAGAACTTGCTAGGCGGAGGCTTGCGCTGTGGACCTGGCGCTGAGGCAGTCTGGTCCCAGTGCTCATGGAATCCAGCCCTTGGTCTCTGGGTCCCGTGTCGCGGGAACGGGTTCTGAAAGGTTGGGAGGCTGCCAGTGTGCATGTGAGCTCCTCTTTCTGAAACACCAGGCTGCTCTTTGCCCTCGGGCCCTGCAGCTACTCTGAAATCCAAGCTGCATGAAGCCAATAGGCCCGACCCCGGGTCACGCTCAGGAGGCAGCACCTCCCTCCCCCCTTCCCGGGCTTGTTGTGGCTGTTGTTCAGTTGCTAACTCATGTGCGACCCTTCTGCAACCCTGTGGACTGCAGCCCGCCAGCCTCTTCTGTCCAGGCAAGAAGCTGGAGTGGGTCGCCATTCCCTTCGTCAGGGGATCTTCCCCACCCAGGGATCGAACCTGCGTCTCCCGCATCGGCAGGGGGTTCTTTACCCCTGAACCACCAGGGAAGCCCTTCCCATTCTCAAGTACCTGCAGTGAGTAAGATGTTAGGAAAGACAGGGCCCCAGTGGGATTGGCATAATTTGATCTCTCTTTTTACGTATGTGCATCTGCACGAATCCTAAAGCCGTCAGGGTCCTCCTTTCCCCAGGCTGAGCTGTGTTCTCCTCCCCTCCATGCTGAGGCTACAGTGAAACATCCCCACAGAGGTTCACTCGGGCCTGAGCCTCACTTTTGTAGAAAAGCACACTAAGGCTCAGCCTGGCTGAGTGAGATGGAGTCTGAGTCCAGAGCCTCTCACTCCACAGTGCCCTGGATCCCACCTGAACACTTGTCCTGCCGTCCTCAGGAAGCAGAGTAGGGTTCGTAGAAAAGAGAGTGCCCTGGCTGAAACAGCCAAGGAAGGACGTTTGACACTGTCTGCGTTCTAGTCCTCGTCACTCTTATCCTTGTTTATGGGTTAGTGGACACTTTCTTTATGGAAGGAAAGAGTTGCTCTGATCAGAGGAGCAAGGACAAGGGTGATTAATGTCTAGAAAGTCGAAAAAGCTTGTGCGCTCCTTCAGTCCATAGACCAGCACAGCACAAGTTTACACGTGGTTACCTCTGCCTTCCTAGAATATTATTGCTCCATCTTGTCTCCTGGGGTTGAAGTTTACTAAATTATTCATTACCCTTCCCCCAAGGTTGAAGGTCACTGAAGCGCTTTTGTCTCAGAATGGCCATCATCAACAAATAAACATTGGAGAGAATGCGGAGAAAGAGGAGCCCTCCTACATTTTGGTGGAAATGTAAATTGATGCAGACACCATGGAGGATGGTATGGAGGTTCCTTCAAATAAACTAATGGCGCGACCATATGATCCTGCAGTCCCACTCCTGGTCATATACACGGACAAGACAAAAACTCTAATTCAGAAGGATACGTTCACCTCAGTGTTCATGGCAGCACTGTTTACAGTATGCAGGACGTAGAGTCAAACTAAATGTCCATTGACAGATGAAATGAAGAAGATGTGGAATATATATATATATACACACACATATAACGTGAAGTATACACATATACACACACATACGTGCATGCATATAATGTGGAGTATATATATATACACATACACACACATACATACATATAATCTGGAGTATATACATATACATACACATACATACATGCATATAATGTGGAGTGTATACATATACATACATATAATGTGGAATGTGTATATATACACATACATACATATTATGTGGAGTATATATACACACACATACATGCATACATATAATGTGGAGTGTATATGTATATATATACACACACACAGGTACATATAATGTGGAATACATATATATGGAGTATTACTGAGCCATAAAAGGAATGGAATAATACCATTTGCAGCACCATGGAAGGACCTACCGATTATCACAGTACGTGAAGTCAGCCAGCCAGAGAAAGACAAGCACAATATGATATTGCTTATACGTGGAATCTAATAAAAATGATACAATACAAATGCACTTATTTATAAAATACTCTCCAAACCGTAGACACAGCAACTCAAAGCTAAGAAACAGCTCGACTCCCCTTGTGAGGAGCACAGAGAGCAGTCGACAGGGTCCTGCACACCAGGGGAGGGGAGAGGAGCACGCTGAAGCCAACAGGCAGACACGCGGCACCCTCTCGCCATTGCCTCCCCACCGGGCGGCCCTGCACTCCAGGCTGGGGGAAGATCCAGCTCCTGCTTGTCCTGGGGAGAGGAGAGGGCCGGGCCACAGAGCCAGGGGTCCGACTTCTCAGCAGCAGTTGGAGGGACTTATCTTTGCAACTTGCCTGAGTCTGAGGATCGAGAGGAAAGAGCCCCATGCTTGGAACCACTGAGAATGAGGCGCTGGTTGGAGCCAGCACACACTCTCTGGCCCAGCACACCACTCCCGCTAGTGCACTGGGCCACCCCACAGTTTAATGCAAACAGGCACCCCAAGCCCCAAATTCCAGCTCTTCTCAGAAGCAAACACTAAGAAGTGTTCCCAAGGATGGAGAGATCCAGCCATTTGTGCGCTGTTGGCAGGAAGGCAAAATAGAGCAGACGCCATGCAAAGCAATACAGCAGTCTCTCAGAAACGTGAAACTAGAGCTATCCCATGAGCCAGCACTTCTGATTCTGAGTATACAGACGAGAGCGCGGGACCCGGGGTCCGGGATGGCTGTCTTTGCTCCCAGGCTCATTACAACATTATTCACAATAGCCAAGACACGGAAGCAACCTAAATGTCAGGACGATGGATAAAGACAATGTGGTATATACCTGCAATGGAATATGACTCAGCCTTAAAGAAGGAGGAGATGCAGCAATATACGACAACGTGGATGAAACTTGAGGACGTTCTGCTAAGGGAAGGAAGCTAGTCACAGCAGGAGAAATAGTGCATGCCTCCACTCACATGAGGGACCTAAAGTCATGCTGCTCGCAGAAACAAGAAGTGGAGTGGTAGTTAGGAGCAGAGGGAAACAGGACGCGCTGCTTCTCATGGAGTATAGAGCATTCACCGTGTAAGATGAAAAAGTTCTAGAGGTCTGCTCCACAATACAGTGTTCACAGATAACAGTGCTGCCCCATACACGGAAATATTTGTTAAGATCTCATATTATTTCTCAACTACAGTAAAATAAATATGTAACATTTGAAAGTAGGGGGACAAAGCAGTCAGAGACACAAAAGGCATATTTCATTGTGGGAAGAACAAGAATTGCAGCTGGCTTCTTATCACTACAAAAGAAAGCACTGGATCGACAACATAGAAAAGGCTTCAGGAGAAACATTGAAAAAATTCTACATTCAGTGAAAATATCCTTCAAAATAAGCAGTTAATGTAACTTGTTACTGGAATGTGCGCTGTTTTATGTTTTCGGTACTCAGAAAATTCCAGTGATGCGATGATGATCACAGATGTGATAAGGAAACCCTGTCTTAGATCAGCAGAGTTTCAGTTCCTCTTCCTGAAATGAGGAAGCATTTCTTCCTCGATGTATCGGCCTGGAGAATTTTTTTCTGCCACTGATACATCCCCAGTATCTTCCTTCTCCGACAATCGCGCCTGTTACACGGACTCCCTGGAGACGTGTCCGGCGTTTCGACGTTCACGCTGTGCCCTGCGCGGTCACCCGGGCGTGTCTGGCTCTTCGCGGCCCCGTGGGCTACAGCCCGCCAGGCTCCTCTGTCCGGGGAACTCTCCAGGCAAGAATCCTGCAGTGGATTCTTTTTCCCTCCAGCGGATCTCCCCGACCCAGGGATCGGCAGGCGGGCTCTTTACCACTGAGCCGCCGGGGAAGCCCCGTCTAGACCCTCAATAGAGACAAATACGACAGTGCTGGAAGCAATAGTGGCGCCGCTAGAGTAGGGAGCTGCATTCACCCTTCATTGGTTACGGGCACTCTCCTACTAGCCACATGTGTTACAAGGGACTTATGAGCCTGTAAAGTAACCAGACGGAAACAGGAATGCTGCCAGACGATACCACTTAGACGCTTTTGTAACGTTTCTTCAAAGCATTAACTTCATTTTTTAAATTTATTTCCTTGCATCGGTTTCTGCCATACAATAGCACAAATCAGCCATAATTATACACATGTAGCCTCCCTCTTACTACATGGGGTCTTAAAAAGAAAGTGGAACGCACAGAAGCACAGAGTAGAGTGGTGGTTGCCAGGGTTGGAATGTGGGGGAAACAGGAAGGTCTGCGGGACTGAAGGCAAGTCCGCGGGCGAGCAGTGGGCAGGGACTCTGGGGTTCTGCGGGTCGCTCACCGCTTGCCCAGCCCCGAACAGCCCACGCTGCCTCCCCGCTGATGACGAGGCCGTCTTCCTTCCCGCCCAGCCCTCTGCCTCTCTGGCCACGTGTCCAGCCCACCCAGCGCTGTCTCGGGTGGGGGCCCGCTTCGCAGGGGCACGCAGTTCCACTGGTTCCAGCCACGGGGGATGGCGATGTGACGCAGGTTGTGACTGATTCTCTGTATGATTTTGTTGGCTTTGTCTGTGTGGTTATACGCGGGGAAGCCGAGCTGGTCCAGAGCCCGGGTGTGGACTGCCAGCATGTGGGAGACGAGCCCGCGGCCCCGGTACTCGGGCAGGGTGGCCCCCATCCGGATCTCTCCTGTCTGGTCCATCAGGGACCAGGACGCAGGGGTCCCCTCAGGCCCCAGCAGGCAGAAGGTGGGGAAGGCCCGGATACAGCGCTCGATGAATCTCTGGCTCCTCTTATTGCCACCAAAATGCCAGAATTTATTCACCAAAGCGGCATGTGTAGGATCCATGGATGAGAGCTTAAACATCTCCTCATTACTATTGAGAAGAAGGGGAGAAAAAAAAAAACCTCGTAAGTCACACATACTGTGAAGTACTATATATTTTTGCCCCCAAGTTGTCTTCAGATGATGCATTTGAGAGTGCAGGCAAAGGCACACATTCTGCAACGAGGCTGCCCAGATTCATAATTCAAAAGCGTGTGATTTTAACCAGGCAACATGATGTCTCTCTGCCTCCTTCCTTTATAAAGTGAGCCTATTAATTGTACCTTCCTCAAAAACTGATACAAGAGCAATTACACCATAAGCACCTAGGACTTGTGCCTACCCGCGTAAGAAGTACCTAAAAGTTAAGTATGTTGCTGTCGGCAAAGCAGTGACTCAGCATTTAATGAGGGAATTGATAACACCCCATTTTAGCGATAAGAAAAATAGGCAAACGGAAAATAGACAAGTGCCCGAACGCACATGCTAGCAGCTGGGTCAAACCAGAGCTTAGGAAGCATGGAATTGTAGACCGCTGGTGCCAGAGGGCCCTTGGCCACTCTGGGCGCTGGAGTCCAGAGAGGGGAAGGGATGTGGAGTGCAGACAGCCCCCGAGGCACAGAACACTGAACCTGAAGCATCTTCAGGCTGTAAACGGGTTTGGGAGGGGCCTCCTGATGGCGAGCCAGGGGATCTGTGCTCATCCCATCACACCCTTAACTATCCACATGACCCGAACAGGCTATGTCATCAGCCGAGCCTGTTTCTGTCAGGAAAATGAGGATAAGATCTCCTATCTTGTCTACCTCCGGGGTGACAGCAGAATCCAGTGAGACTGTGGATGTGAAGGTGTTTCCAGGTGTAACGGGATTGTTGCCCAGTCACTAGGTCATGTGCATGCCTTAGTGCCTCCATGGACTGGAGCACGCCAGGCTCCTCCGTCCTTCACTGTCTCCTGGATTTCGCTCAAATTCCTGCCCATTAAGTCAGCGATGCTGTCTAACCATCTCATCCTCTGCCGCCCCCACACCCCTTCATGAATCGCAGCCTTGCTGTGGCGAAGGGGCTTATGTAATCCAATGAACCTATGAGCCCTGCTCTACAGAACCAGCCAAAACGGACGGGTCATAGTGAAGCGTTCTGACAAAACAGGATCCACTGGGAAGGAAATGGCAGCCCACTCTAGTATTCTTGCCTGGAGAACTCGATGGGAAGTAATGTATGAAACTGCGAGTAAAGCTTTTCCAGTCATTTTAACACACAGAGGACCATATGGCTGGGCATCTCTGAAGAAACAGCATTTGAGAGTATGAGTGACAATAAAGAGACAAGTATATGAGGATCAGAGGGAAGGACATCGTGGGAAGACAAAGGGCGAAAGCAATGGCCCCAAGCCATGTGTGGGTGTGTGAGATCAAGTTGCATCAAGAGGGTCAGAGCTGCTGGTAGGAGTGAGCAAGGGCGACGGGATAAAGTCCAAGAGGTGATGCGCTCCAGGCCTTTTGGACCTTGGAAGTCCACAAAGGACTTTGACTTTGATTTTATTTTATTGGGCTCCAAAATCACTACAGACGGTAACTGCAGTCACCAAAAAAAAAAAAAAAAAAAAAAAAAAAAAAAAATTCTTTGTCATTGGAGGAAAAGCTATGAGAAACCCAAACGGTACATTAAAAAACAGACATACCACTTTCCTCACAAAGGTCCATCTAGTTAAGGCTCTGGTTTTTCCAGTGGTCATGTACGGATGTCAGAGCTGGACTATAATGAAAGCTGAGTGCCAGAGAATTGATGCTTTTGAACTGTGATGTTGGAGAAGACTCTTGAGAGTCCCTAGGACTGCAAGGAGATCCAACCAGTCCATCCTAAAGGAGATCAGTCCTGGGTGTTCATTGGAAGGACTGATGCTGAAGCTGAAACTCCAATACTTTGGCCACCTCATGCGAAGAACTGAGTCATTTGAAAAGACTCTTATGCTGGGAAAGATTGAGGGCAGGAGGAGAAGGGGACGACAGAAGATGAGATGGTTGGATGGCATCACCAGCTCAATGGACATGAGTTTGAGCAAACTCCTGGAGACGGTGAAGGGCAGGGAAGCCCGGCGTGCTGTCGTCTGTGGAGTGTCGAGAAGTCAGACACGACTTAGGGGCTGAAAAGAACAGCAAGCTGAGCCACCTCCGTGGCTTTCCAGCAGGTGAACGGGCGTAATCCACATTACACGCTGGAAGCATCGCTCTGGAAATGGGTTGCGGGGAGCCAAGAGTGAATGTCGGGATAGAGCTTGGCAGGCTACTGCAACACTGAAAGGGCATCTTTTTTCAAACTCACATGGCTTTGGGTGCACCATATCCAGCAGGTAAGTTCTTTGTCTCTGGCAGGGAAGGAAGCAGTTTCCTCGCTGTCTCAGGCATCACGTAGAGAATGCTCTGTGTGTGCTCGACCTTAACCAATTTAGCGGCTGCAAGATTCTGTATCACCTCATTCAGGCTGGACTGTGAACCTAGAGAGGGGTAGTTAGGAGAGGAGGAACTGCCCCTGTAGATGCTTCAGGAAGCTTCGCAACAGACAGGGCCAGGAGTTAAAGTCAGCAACTCTGCTTCTGGTGTTGCAAGTGGCCGTGTGACCCTGGCCACATCACTGCCTGAAGCTGTCTGCTCTTACCCAATACAGAGATAAGACTAGAAATACTGTGGAATCAAGGACACGTGGTGTTTAAAAAATCGTAGCCAAACTTGGGCTTCCTTGGTCGTCCAGCGGTTAAGAATCCGCCTGCCACTGCACAGGACATGGGTTCGATCCCTGGTCCGGGCAGATCCCATGTGCCTCGGAGCAGCAGAGCCCGCTCTCTCAGAGCTTGTGGTCCACAACAAGAGGAGCCACGGCAACGAGAAGCACGCACAGTGCAACGGAGAGCAGCCCCTACTTGCCGCAACTGGAGCAGGCCCGCAGCAGCAAAGACCCAGCACAGCAAAATAAATTAAAAAACCGGTAGCCGACCGTGCTTGTGTACGGATGGCATGCCCTGGTATCGGTCTAACACCGCACTTAATCCTTACATTAACCACAGGTATCGCACGCATGCTCAGTCATGTCCAACTCTGTGCAACCACATGGACCACAGCCTGCCAGCCTCCTCTGTCCATGGGATTCTCCAGGCAAGAATACTGGAGTGGGTTGCCGTTTCCTCCTCCAGCGGCTCTCCCCAACCCAGGGATCGAACCCACATCCCCTGCATGGGCAGGCGGATTCTCTACCACTGTGCCCCCTGGGAAGCCCAGCCACAATTTTAGCTACTTCTGTTATCTTCACTTTTCATATGTGAGGGAACTGAATAATAGATACATTACACTACTTGCTCAAGATCACAAAGCAAGTAATAGGCAGAACAGGGATGTCACCCAAGCGAGTCTGATTCCAACAGTGACAGATGTTCCTGTGACTGGGGACGTGTTCTATGGCACAAGAACTTATTGTTCCAATTGTGGCTCAGTGGCAAAGAATCCAGCTGCCAATGCAGGAGACACCAGAGCCTCAGGTTTGATCCCTGGGTCGGGAGGATCCCCTGGAGAAAGAAATGCACCCACTCCAGTATTCTTGCCTGGGAAATCCCATGGACAGAGGAGCCTGGCGGGCTGCAGTCCCTGAGGTTGCAGACTTGGACACGGCTCAGCAACTAAACAAACGACAAGTTCAGGGGGCTCTGCTCTCACGCCCAGTCACCCGAAGGGATCTTCAGTATGTCTGCAAAATGCATCAGGAATCCTCGTCTAGCAAGAACTTACACTACTCACATGTTCTTGAAAGAACCCTATAGCCTGCAACGCTTGGATTCAGCTCCACTGAAGAGATGGTGTTAGCCGACACGGGGAGTGACCATCAAGCTGAGTGTCTGGGGTCTGGTAGGAAATACTGCTCGTAGGGGACTGCACTCAGGGTAAAGTGACGCTCCAGGTATAGATATGAGCAGTCCCTGCAGTGGACAGATCCCAGATCCCTAACGTACTTTGGATCTGCAGATGTTGTTTCCAGTTGATGACATCTGATGTGGTAAGGGACTCCTGACAGTTCCTGAGATCCTTAGAAAAGATTTGGTAGGTGTTGGTGTAGTGATCAAAGTCATCTGCCATCTCCTGTTTGGGAATATAAATAAGTCAAACTGCTCATATCCAGCGATTGGGATACTTGTTTGCTATTTCCTTATAGAGTGCTATTTTACAAACTAAATATCGCTGTTCTTCTTGGTGTGCTATCATCATTTCTGAGTCATTTTCACCACACAAGTAAGTCAGGGATTTAGTGAATGATTCCACTTACAAGGAAGAAACACTTGATGAAGGTATTTTTATGTTGCATGACAATTTCAAATCAACCACTTATCAGTTTAGAATGCATTCTTCAGTGATTCTACAGTCCTCAGGAGAAAGAATGAATTTTTGTTAAAGGCAAGCTTCTGTTGCAAGAGTAAAAGTTACTCTGTTTCAAAGCCTTGGAACAAATGCATTATGAGGACAATATTGAAATAGACACAGGTTACCTTGCATTAGAATTCTCACATGTCATAAAGCTGTACAGAATGAAGACCCAGGATGCCTTTAAAATGTAAATTGCAATACACTGTTTAAAAAATAATTCATTTTTCCAACAAAGCTGAAACACAAAATTTGCTCAAAAAGATTGTCTCAAAATTAACAAATAAAAAATGAGACTATTTTGAAGCTGAGAGAAGAAATCAGAGAAATCTACCCAACAAGGGCAGAATAGCTGGAAATCGTTGACCAGAAATGCCCTCCGCATTCATGGCACCAGCAATTTGTTTTCTAAAGATTGCATAAAAAAGTGAATCTTATTCTTTTTAGATTTCAATAATTAAAGTATCTTTACTTTTGTATTCTGTTTAATTTGGTATTTTTTAAAAAATTCACTACACATTTAAATTTTACTTCCAAATAATTCATCAAATGATACTATACGGTTACATATTTTTGCATGTGGGAATTTTTATACTTTATTTTCAATATGCTTATAACATATTTATATTTGAAGCAGATTAGCAACTTAGTATGAGTGATTTTTAAAAGTCTAGTACTGAAAATATATTCCCAAATACAAGCATCAAAACTTGTTCTTTTTATTTCCTTAACATTATCATCGGAGAAGGAAATGGCAACCCACTCCAGTGGTCTTTCCTGGAGAATCCCATGGCCAGGGGAGCCTGGTGGGCTGCAGTCCGTGGGGTCGCAAAGAGCTGGGCAAGACTGAAGCGGCTTCTCACACATGTGAGATTTACCTTCACACATGTTGGGATGTTCCTTTCTCGGCTTAGAACACAACCTCTGTTCTTGTCAACCCGTCAAAAACCTATTATTCTTCAAAATTCACTTTTGGCAAAACGTCTTCCGTGAAAGCTCTCTGGTCCTTGCCCTGCATCCTGACATCAATCGTCTCATCTCTTGGCCAGCGCTACTCCTGTATCTCAAATGTTTACAGTACATTCTCACACCTTGTTGTATCTGTTTTGCTTGTCTGTTTCCCACCAGACTCTAAGTTCTCGAGCACAGGGACCTGTTCACTATCACTGCATTTCATTTCTGTATCCCCAGGTCTACCACACTGCCAGGCACATAGCCAATACAAACACAGATGCACATTCATTCTACCCCTGGCCCCTTACCTGCTCCTGAGGGCGGATAACCACTGTCTTAAAATCAGGCCACTTGTCCACCAGGGCCTTTAGACCAAATGGGTTTCCCTGGTTCATGTGGAAGACGGTCCCATAAACCTGCAGTGTCCCGAGAAAGTGAGAGGGTCAGCTTATCAGGAGGGGCTGTGCAGCGCCTTGTTTGATCAGGACAAGGTTCATTTCGATGAAATCAGGTTAAGTACTTAAAAGGGCCTTTACTTTGGTCTTCAGGGTCTTCAGGTTCTACCTTATTATTCCAAATGGAAATAGACTTTGGGTCAAACAATGGGAATATTCTGTTGTGTGTGTGTGTTAGTTGCTCAGCCATGTCCAACTGTTTTTGACCTCATGGACTGTAGCCCGCCAGGCTCCTCTGTCCGTGGAGTTCTCCAGGCAAGAACACTGGAGTGGGTTGCCGTTTCCTTCTCTGGGGGATCTCCCCAACCCAGGAATCGAACCCAGGTCTCCTGCCTCGAAGGCATATTCTTTACTGTCTGAGCCACCAGGAAAATCAAATATCTTATTACTGTGTTTTAAAATCCAGATGTATAAAACGAATAAGTTAAAATCATCTGCTAACACACTGTAGAATGTAGTGTTACATCTTTCCTTTTATTCCATTTATTTACACACACACATTCAGGGTTCCCTGATGCCTCAGTCAATAAAGAAACTGCCGGCAATGCAAGAGTCCCGGGTTTGATCCCTGGGTCAGGAAGAGCCCCTGGCGGAGGGCATGGCAACCCACTCCAGTGTTCTTGCCCAGAAAATTCCGTGGATAGAGAAGCCTGGTGGGCTACAGTCCATGAGGTCACAAAGAGTCAGACACAACTGAGTGACTGATACACACACACAGTTTCTAAACATGAAATTAATTACCTAATGCATATTAATTTAACATCTGTTCCCCCCCCACCCCGCCATGTACACATACACACTATACCACGAGCATGTTTCTGCATCAATAAACACAAATCTATACAATCATTTTTAATGGTTGCATAATATCCATTATATGGAAGGACTACTTCAATTTTACTCTGCCTTATTGCTGGTCATTTCAGTGTTTTCTAATTTTCAACAGTTTATTTTTCAATGAACATTGCTTTTGCATAAATCTTGGTAAATATGTCTGATATTACAAATTCTACAAGGGGAATTTCTGGGTCAAACATCAACTGTTGTTTAAATATTTTATTTTTCTTGCATACGCCTCCGAATTACCCTCCATAAAGGTTCAATGAATTCCCATCTACGTAAAAGTAGAGACAGGGCATCGTGTTAACAACACAAGCTTTGGTGGCCAAGGTCCAAGGGCATCGCTTATTGGGCAATTGTTTATATCTTTGCAACCACTTGTTCAAACATTGGTGCCCTCAAAACACTGAAGAGGCTGAGAAAGAGATTGTCCAAACTGGAATGAGCCACGTGGTTGGGGAGAGGAAAAACAGCAATCCATGCGAGGGTGGACCGTAGGACCTAGATGCGTTGAAACAAGATGCCTTGGCAGATGGCAGGGAAGAATGCCAAAGACCAGTGCCCAAAGGAAAGGCGACTATTTGAATGACCAAGGACCACCTCTCACCCTGTGCCTCCCTGCTCTTGCCATGAAATGTCAGGGTCAGACTAAGCGGAGAGAGGAGGAGGCAAACTTCGACTTTGATTTTCAAACTTTGACTTAACTGAGTTTTTATAGATTAAATTTCTGCCATCAGCAGATGCACAACATAGAAATTAAATGCAGTTTTAAGGAAAACAAAATATATGTTTTTCAACGTGACGGTTGGAACCAGTGGCATTTATACACACATTTCTCTGTGCATGATAGCGTCATTTAACCAGAACATCGTGACTCAGGTGAGTAGAGAGGAAAAGAACCTCATTAAAACTGAGGATCTCATATTGAGTTATTTTGCCTTACAGTAGAGTTGGGCTAAGATTACTAGTGCCAAGAATTATCTCCAAAAAGTTGGGATCCTCTTAACACAAGAAGTAAATAACAATTCAAACCCCAGACACAGAGCATAAAAGAAAACAATCTAACTTGGAAAATTTTTCAAAGTAGACACTTAAGATAGAAATAACTCAGGCACCTAACTGATTTAGTAGCTCCTCCTCCTGAAAAAATACTTCTGAGGTAATGTTGAATACGTGGTGTAGTTCCTGATATTCAGTAAGTGTTCAAGAAGTATTGGTTATTAATTTTATCATATCTTATTTAATCCTCCAAATATCTCTGCAAGGTGATGATAACCCTGCTTAGGACTTCCCTGGTCTTTCAGATGGTGAAACATCTGCCTGCAAGGTGGGAGACCTGGGTTTGATCCCTGGGTTGGGAAGATTCCTTGGAGTAGGAAATGGCAACCCACTGCGTTATTCTTGCCTGCAGAATCCCATGGACAGCGGAGGCTGGCAGGCTACAGTCCACACGGTCTCAAAGAGTCAGACATGACCGAGTCACTAACACACACACACAACCCCGTTTAAGGCCGAGGACTGTCTACCAAGAGTATTCACTTCCTCGTTTTACTCACTGTACATGCAATAGCACTGAGGTGTGTGCAGTGTCGCGCAGGAAACAATGCCTCTGTGGGATCAGAGCCGCCTGACTCCTGACCTTGCTCCTCGCCACAGCTCCCCGCCCTCCCGCTCAGTGTGCTGTGCCCTGGGCTACACCAGGCTCCTGTGGCTCAGTCTGCACATGACCCTAACCAACGCGTCCGGGCACCAGGGAAGACGTCATGTCCAGCTCTTTGTGACCCTTGGACTATGGAGTCCATGGGGTTCTCCAGGCCAGAATACTGGAGTGGGTAGCTCTTCCCTTCTCCAGGGCATCTTCCCCACCCAGGGACTGAACCCAGGTCTCCCGCATCACAGGCGGATTCTCTACCAGCTGAGCCACAACGGAAGCCCCCACCCCCAACCTCACCCACCCTGGCCGAAAAAGGATGTAATAGGATGCTATTCCTTCCATGTTTCCCATCAGCATGATCAGTATAATCAGCTCTACTGAATTACACGTCATATTCATGCTGCTCTGAGAAGTCTGAAGCTGTGATTCATCAATAGAACAAAAAGCATTTATTTTAGAGACAAGCCCTCTAAGCTAACAGAGTTTATACCTAAGGCTTTTGTTGTTGTTGTCTATGGTTTTGTGTATCTTATAAATTGTATTGGTTTTTAATTCAAATTGTCCATTGCCAGTACACAGAAAAACAGTTTTTGTATTTCGTATATTCACCCTAAAGCCTTTGCCAGACTTAGTTATACATCTAGGAGCTTTGGGAATCTTTGTTTCTTTTTGGTAGATTCCTTAAGATTTTCCTCATTAGACAATTATACCATCTGTGAATAAACACTATTTTATTTTTTTCCAATATATATTTTTCTTATTTCTTTTTATCATCTTATTGTGTTGGTGAGGATATCTAGTACCATTCCCACCAGGAGTGGTGGGAATGAATATCTTTGCCTTGCTACTGACCGTAGGAGGAACATTAAGTCTTTCACTATTTAGTATAATCTTAGGTATAGATTATTCCAGTACACTTTTTATCAGGTTGAAGAAACTTCCTCCTATTTCTAGTCTGCTGATGGTTTTATTTCTTTCAGAAATATTTCATTCTGTCAAACATTTTTCTGCATCTATTGAGAGAAGATCTACAGCTTTTCTTCAGTCTGTTGATAACAGTGAATTGCATTGATTGACTTCTGAATGCTGAATCTGCCTTGCCTTTCCAAGATGAACTTACCTTGGTTATGATGGATTATCCTTTTGATATGTTGACGGATTTGTCTTGATATTATTTTGTTAATGGATATCTCTGTGCACAAAGAATATTGTTCTGCAGTCTTCTTTTTGGTATCAGGTTAATTCTGGACTCATAGAATGATTTGGGAAGTGTTTTCTCCTCTGTTCCATTCCGCAAGGGATTTTGTGGAAGTGATATTATTTCTTCCTTATGTGTGAGGTAGAAATTGCCACTGACAATACCTGAGCATGGAATTTTCTTTGTTGGAAGGTTTCAAATGACAAAATCAGTTTCTCCAATAGATATAGGGCAATTTAGGTTGCATATTTCTTCTTCAGTGACCTTTGGTGAGTCATGCTTTTCACAGAATATACAATGTGAAATTTATGGACTTCAAAAAGTTCATAGTATTGAAAATTGTTTTCACTGGAAGTGCCAAGTCTTAACCACTGGACTGCCAGAGAAGCCCCGAGACTGTTATCCTTTTTAGTTTAAGCACTCAATGCTATCTGCTTCTCTGTTATCAACTGCTTTAGTAGCATCCCAAAGCTTCTCATACATTGTATTTTTATTTTCATTCAACTAAAATGCTTTCTAATTTTCCTTGCAATTTTAAGCATGCCTTATTTAGAAGTGTGTTGTATACTTTTAGAAATTCAGGTGTTTTCCAGATACCTTTCGGGTTTTGGGTTTTTTTTTTTTTTTTTTTGAGTTTAAGTCTATATTGTTCAAGAACATACTTGCTATATTTCAATTCTTCTAAAAATTTTAAAAATATGGTCTATTTTGCTAAACATTCTATGTGCACTTGAAAATATTATGTACCCTGCCATGGCTGTGTGAAGTATTCTGTGAATGTCGATTTATTCAAGTTGGTTCCTTTCATACACAGTAAGTTCATACATGTGTGTATAGGTTTCCTGCCTATCCTACAGATTACTGCGGGAGAAGTGTTGAACTCTTTATACCTGTGTGCTTCCCTATTTCTTCTTTCAGCTTAATCAGTTTTTGTCTCATGTACGTTGAGCCTCTGTTGCTGGGTATACATTTCAGGCTTTCTTGTATCTTCTGGGTGCATTGATTCCCTCATCATAATGCAGTGGCACTCCTTATCTCTAGTAAAGGCCTCCTCCCTTTGTAATACATATTATTGCAAGACAAAACACTCCTCTTCCCTATGGCACATGTGATGATCTAGGTGTCTGTGGTGCATAGATCATCCCTTAGACATTTCTGTCTCATTCAAAATTAAACCTAATCCTTGGGGGTTGACAAAAACAGAATTTGACCGATTGTTAATTACAAAGAAGAACCATAATTGATAGCTTTTCATCAGGCACTTGATTGTTTGATAAGAATAAACATTGGCTTTGCCAACTTTGGGGGAAAAGAACCTTCCAGAGTTACATAACATGAGTTGAAGGGGCGCGAGGGAAAGCTTTGCGTCATCACAGAGCAAAGATGATAATGGGCCCCAGCCACAGCGTCGCCGCTCCCTGCTGGCGTGATGACCTTGGTCAGGTCATCTACCTGGAGCTCCCCTTCCTCTTTGGTGCTAGAGACACAGTACAGCTGCCCGGCAGACAGGGGAGTGGGCAGCCGGGTGAGTGAGCGCGGCGCGGAGCAGGTGCTCAGGGCTTCCTCGTTCTCCTTCCTGCCTTTCCTTAAACTGCTCCCGGCCCTTTTCCCCTTGAGAACGTCCCCCTCTCACCTTTAAGGACTCAGGGAGACTCTTCATCAAGCACTTCTCTAACATCTGCAGCAGCTGTGGGCCTTGTAGCTGGAGCATCTTGGCAGGTCCCTTAATCTACAGAGAGGATCAGCAAGCAGGGAATGAGAAGTGCTGGGAGACACACGAAGACGCCCCCGGCCCTGTCTCCTGGGACACAGCAACGGTTAAAAAACAAAACACAGCAAAACCCCCTCCACTCCCTCCGTGTTTCTGAGTGTCTTCCTGCAAGGAACTGCCCTTCTCTCATTGGGCTTAAGCCTCACCATGACCTCACGTTGTCTGTGACAAGGCCAGGTACTGATCCCTCAAACTCCCCATCTTCAACAGCTCATGCAAGTCAACGTAAAAAACCTCAAACAAACAGAGAGCCAAACACCCCACTGAAAGGGCGCAGGAACCGGTCGTTCTGACTGTTTACTCTCCCTTCCGACACGCTTGGGTGGACGGCTTATCCGCACTGAACAATGGCAACAAGGAGTTCTAATGGCTTGACAAAGGTTATTGGCTTGACAAAGCATTAATCGTCTTCTCTCCTGCACACAGTCCTCCGCAGTGTGATCCACTCTCAGCCCAAGCCAACATTGGCATTCAGAATGATCCTCCAGGAAACGTTGCTGACTCCTTTCCATAAAATAACCCTTTTCTGCCTCACCTTTCAGATGTTTGTAGATCTTACCATCTGAGAGTTCTTCTGTTGAAATAATACCCTCTTCCTATTTCAGCACTCCTTTCCCCTCTGCAAATAATCCTTTCAAATAAAGTCTCTCCTTACCAAAGTCTGGTTTTGATTTTTATTTAAGGGTATTTTGGTACAGTTTCATTATAATTGAAATAGACTTTTGTGACTAGCCTGGAAACCTAAGTATTGATTTATTCATCTATGCAGTCATTTGCTTATTCAATGACTCTTTAAGTGTTACTATTTATTGAGAACTTACTGTATTCAACAAATGAGTTCAGCTAGGCTGAACTACATTTCCCAGAATTCCCTTCCCTTAATGTTTCCACTTAGGGCGGACCACAGAGATTCTCTGGTAGCTCAGCTGATAAAGAATCTGCCTGCCATGCAGGAGACCTCAGTTTGATTCCTGGGCTGGGAAGATCCCCTGGAGAAGGGAGAGGCTACCCACTCTGGTATTCTTGCCTGGAGAATCCCCATAGACAGAGGTGCCTGGTGGGTTACCATCCATGGGGTCACACAGAGTCGGACCCGCCTGAGCGGCTAAGCAGACAGCACGGAGAGATTCCTACGGAAAACCTGGTAGTGGTCGTTCAGTCGCTCAGGCGTGTCTGACTCTGTGACCCATGGACGGCAGCACGCCAGGCTTCCCTGTCCTTCACTATCGCCCGGAGGTTGCTCACACTCATGCCCATCGAGTCGGTGATGCCATCCCACCATCTCATCCTCGGCGGCCCCCTTCTCCTCCCGCCTCCAGTCTTTCCCAGTGGAAAACCCGGAGAGCAGAATTAAAGCAGCAGGCATTCTGCAGCTGACCTCAGGGATGTCCAGGTGGCTCCGTGATAAAGAACCCATCTGCCAATGTAGGAGACTCAGGAGACGTTGGTTCAATCCCTGGGTCAGGAAGATCCCTTGGAGGAGGAAATAGCAACCCGCTCCAGTATTTCTGCAGGAAAACTCCACAGACAGAGGAGCTGGGCAGTTTGCACAAAGTTGGGCATGGAGCAATAACTGAAGATATAAGGTCGTAGCTGGGCTGGCAAGTGCTTCTCTCTGCCCTGGGTTTGCCTTCAGCCTGGGACAGGGGAATATTAACCCCTTAGTGGTGTGCAAATGTTTTCTCCCATTCCATAGATTGTTCATTTTGTTGACTCTTTTGCTGTGCAGAAACTGTTTAGTTTGATACAGTCCCACGTGTTTATTTTCTGCTTTCAATACTGGAGCCTTTGTTGTCATATCCAAACATACCACTGCCAAGACCACGGTCAAGGTTCCCCCCCATGTTTTCTTCTAGGAGTTTTATGATTTCAGGTCCTAATACATTTAAGCCTTTAATCCATTCTAGGTTAATTTTTTGAGGTGGTCTTTGTATCTTGATTGTAGCTGCTGTGGGCAGTCACTGAGGCTGGTAGGAATCACAAGTCCTGTAAATGGATGTTTTCTTTACTCTAAGGTGAAGTGTGCTGGGCCCTTCTGTTGTCCTGCTTTCCCACACAGGACCACAGAATATTTCTTTAACTCAGTATCTGACTTAACAGCTCTGGCCTGTCTTCATTTTCTTCAGGCCCTAATTCCAGAAGACCTTCAAAATCCAGCTTTTGTTCCCGTTTCAAAGTCGTACTCAAATTTCCCTTTTCTCTCTATTGACTCCCTTTAGTTCCTCAATCCAAACAGAACAGATCACTCTCTTTTCTGTACTCCCCAAAGATTATGGACACATTTCAGTCAAAACTTGTTACAGCAAATTACAGTTTGTCTTCTAGATTATCAGTCCCCTGGGCAATGTCCTAAATAATTTATTCTGTTGTTCTCAGTGTTATACAATGTTAATTGTACATGTGTTAATGTAATAACACCATTAGGTACACAGTAGGAACTCAAAGTTTTTTGATTCCATGTGTGACGTGCTTGCATAAACATAGCCATCTCTTTAGTCACTCTGCTTAGCAAGGGAAAAGACCCATTCTTTCATTCAACAGGTGTCAGTAGAAGACCAACTACATTCTGGGCTTGGGCATTCCTACCAGATGTTTCTTTGAAAAAAAGACTCAGACCAGAATAGAAGTACCTGTGCCATATCCTGGAAAATTTCAGGACAGTAGAAGTGCATCATTTCTAAACATTACTCAGACATCGCCTGCACGCTAAGTCACTTCAGCTGTGTCCGACTCTCGTGACCCTGTGGACAGTAGCCCACCAGCCCCTCTGTCCATGGGATTCTCCAGGCAAGAATCCTGCAGCGGGTGGCCGTGCCTTCCCCAGGGGGTCTTCCTGACCCAGGGATCGAGCTCCTGTTTCCTTCCGTCTCCTGCACGTCAGGCGGGCACTTTACCACTAGTGCCGCCTGGGAAGCCCATTCAGACATTAGCTAGGAGCATTTCACAGAAAGATTGCATGAGAATAAAATAAGCTGAATTTGATGCCAGATTACTGGGGACAGAATATTAAAGTTCTGACAAGTACATTTGGGAAAACTTTCTTCACTTGCATGTATGTACACACACACACACACACACACACACAAATTGAAGACAAATATAATGTTCAATAAATGCAGTTGACTAAAACTGAGGAGACTCATTTTAGGAGGTTGCCAGCCTTGATAACAGCCAAAGTCCAGTGAAGCACAGTTTGAGACGTTTGACAAATCCATTCCAGTACTGGGAATTTATCCAAAGAAAACAGTTCAAATGAAGAAAAATACTCTGAAAAAGTTTGAAAGCAATATAATATTAACTCACAGGGATATACTGGACACAATCTCCGTGTCCTGCTATAAATATAGTTCATGTAAACATGATCTGTCATTATTTTACTACTCTAAAACCCATTTTAACATGAAGGTTGTATGTGGCCACATGAGAGTCTTAAAAATGAACATGAAAAGGATGGACATGACACTGCAAAAATCCTGGAGGCCTTTTTGTTTATTACATAAACACAGACAATGAAAATTGAGAAGGAAACCAAATTATATATGAGCATTATAACTGAGATTTTAAAAATTACATTTGTTTTTTACGGTTTTAAATTAACATTAATCTCATCTGGATTGTAGTCTGTTGACTACAACCTACCTCATCTATTGGAAACTTTAAAAAAGGCACTGAATTTCCCTGGCCATCACTTATCCAAGGCGGACAAAAAAGTCTGACTACCATAAAATATTACTAGGGAATTGAATAAGGTCATGTTTGCCTAGTATATCTACAAACTGTTACATAAACATCACCCAAACCCACATATTTCTTCCCAGAAGCTGTTACCTTTTCTGGCACCTCATCTATTAACAGGAGGCTCCCAAATCACTCCACATTTATGTCTCAATTCAGAACAGAAGCCTGTCCTTCCCCAGGGAGAACTTCTTACAGAGTCAGGACACTGCCCCTACACAGGGCATGCCTGACGCAGATTTCTCCAAGGGAACCACTTCCTTTCCGCCCGGCATAACTCTCAGCACGGAGGGGCTCAGAAATTCTTACCCACATCCAACAGCAGCATTTTGCTTCGTTTGCTTCAGTGAGGAGCCAGGGGCTGCGGCGGCTCAGAGCAGGGATCCTCCTTGGTTCTCACCCGGGACACTGTCTCCCCACTAAGTCTCTGCAGAGATCCCCCCCGGGGACAACAGGCAGAAGACCATTCCAGAGGATGACAGGTATCCTCTGGCTCCTGTGGTCTTGGAAAGTGTGCGTAAATGTGAGCCCCGACCTGCCGAGCTGAGAGTCCTACCTGAACCCACGCGGCAGGCTGCACTTCCGGGGCTGGGCGTGGGGAGTCCGTCCCCCAGGCCCTGTGCTTGGCAGATGGCCCCTGGGGCTCACTTTTCCAGGGGTCTGAGCTGCTTTCTGACCCCAGAGCTCCTTCCAGTCCTTCCAGCGCTCAGCAACTCTGAGCTGTGAGATCCGGAGGCAGGCAGGATCGCTACAGGCAACACCTACCTGCCTCATCCCCCTCTTTGCATAAACAGCTGCCGCAAAAGCAAGAGATAGCCACTGTTAGAACTCACGCAGAGAAGCAGGGCTCTTTTTTTACCCATAAGAATTACTTACTTGGAAAGACTAAAGGACCTAGAAAGTACCCCCACCCCACATTTAGAATAAGTTTGGTAAACCTCAAATGGAATAAACAGAAGGAGAACCACCCCCAGACATATCATAATTAAACTACTGAAAGTCCCAGATAAAAAGATAACCTTCAAGGAAGCCACAGCAAAAGCAGGCAGACACAGAAGGGAACAGAGGTACAAACAGCGGCTGACGTTCAGAAGGTGCACAAGGTCGGGAGACAGTCGTGTCACTGATTCAGTCTTACCTGCTGGCAGCGTGGGAGTCTAGGAAATCAAGAGGCAACAGTCCTGGCAAGGACAGTGACTGTTCAGATGGCTAGCAGGCCAAAATGACAGTTGGCTTGCGTCCCAAAGAACCATCCTGGCTGAGTTAGAATTCAGGCTTCTTCTCCACTTAAAGTGGAGGGATTAAAATCAAACATTTGCAAGTTTGGGTCAGCCTCTGGATGGGATGTGTTCATTTCCTCCTTCCTACAGTCATTCACAGGTGGGTCTGGTCAGGATGTTTCCTGTGAGCTTAACAAAAGTCTTTTAGCTTGCAGCTCATTATCTGGGAGGCAGAGATAATAGGCTATTATGCACGTTATACATAATGCCCCATCTCTCATTCCCAGAGATACAATTTAAGCTTAAAGGTACAACTGCTTTAGTGATTAACTTGTAATAGAATACAAAGGTTCTTCCCTGGTAGGTTTTTCCACTGTCAACGTTCATTCCACAAATTTGTGGGGAAAAGGCTTAAGACCACTCTGGCTATTTCCTGCCAAATGGGGCGATGAATGTTTCTTAGTCTTCAGTTCAGTTCAGTCACTCAGTCGTGTCTGACTCTTTGCGACCCCATGGACCGCAGCATGCCAGGCCTCCCTGTCCATCACCATCTCCGAGTCCAGCCAAACTCATGTCCATCGAGTCGGTGATGCCCTCCAACCATCTCATCCTCTGTCGTCCCCTTCTACTCCCCTCACTCTTTCCCAGCATCAGGGTCTTTTCAAATGAGCCAACTTAGAATCTTCAGTCAGCAGTAAAAATTCTCTTCCCTTCTGTATCTACAGCTGTTTGAATCTGATAAAAGCCTTTAGCAATTTGTCCCACTGGCGTTACCATCTCTAGGGATGACTTTCCAAGCCTCGAAATAAGGCATGCTAGTGCTCGCCTCCATCACGCTGTCGCTGTTCTAGCCAGAAATTTCACGGATGCTGCTGNAAACAAACTCACTCAGAAGGAAAATGCAGATCGTGGAGCACAGTTTATTCCACCGGCTGGCCCAAGGCAGAGTCTCCTCTTAGCCAAGGCCCCCGACCAGTTTTTGTGAAAACCTTATATACCCTAAGTGTACATGCCCAACCCCACCTCCCCAACTTCCCTGAAACTAGTCTGAACAAAGGAAAAGATAGAATCAAAGTTAAGCCTTTGGTTTATTTGTAAACCTTAACCCTAGGGGGTCAACAATGGACAGTTACCAACAGGGCTGTGGTCACACGCCAATAAGCATAATCGAATGCAGGATTCTCTTCAGTTACACAGATAACTGGGGCATTCTCTTAGGCCACGGAGAGTCGAGTCTTCCTTCGGGCGCCTGGTTTTCCAGTTGGTATGTCGTTTTATAGATACTGGGCCTAAACCTCAAAGTCCACAGTCCGGCCCAAGATGGCGTCCTGCTTTCAAGATGGAGCCTATTCTGTTTCCTCCTTCACTAGCATGGTATGCCAACAAATCGACAAGGAAGAATGACTTTATTCAGAGAAAGCCAGCAAACCAGAAAGATGATGGACTCAGGCCCTGAAGAATCATCTTTCCTGAGTTAAGAGGGTGTTTTGATACTAAAAGGGAAGGGAGTCAAGTCAAACATTTCCTGGTTCAGATCAGACTTAGAAGGGATGTGTTAATTTCTTCCTTCCTGCAGCCACTCACAGGAGGGCCTGGTCAGGGATGCTTCCTGTGGCTAAACAAAGTATTTTAGTTTAGCACTCCCTACCTGAGAGGCTGGGTTCCCAGAGATGGGCCATTATTTATAATTCAAACTTACAGGCAACATCCCTTTAGTCATTAACTTGCAATAGAATACAAAGGTTCTTCCCCATGACAATAGAATGACATTTTTAAAATGCTGAAAGCCTGAAATTTCACATCAAACAAAATATCTTTGCAAAACACAAGCAAAAAAAAAAAGAAGTTTCGGATAAACAAGGCATATCTGCCCTACAAGAAAGAAATAGTCTGTAAACCGAAAGGAAATTAAATTCAGTGATATTTTGGAAGTGCAGCTAGAGAGACTATTGACAATATAAGTGGTTTAAAGCTATGTTTCTTTCTTTTCTTAAATTCTTTACAAACAATTGACTATTTTAAATTCAAATATAGTAACTGTATGGGGCTTCCCTCAAGACTCAGAGGTAAAACGATCCACCTGCCAAAGCAGAAGACAGAGGTTTGATCCCTGAGCCGGGAAGAGCCCCTGGAGTAGGAAACGGCAGCCCCCTCCAGTGTTCCTGCCTGGAGAGCCTCATGGACAGAGGAGCCTGGCAGGCTGCGATACACAGGGTCACCGAAAGGTCGGACACAACGTAGACACTAAACAATAAGAGCATAATAACTGTATACCAGAGTTACAGTAAATGCAGAAGATAATACTTTAACAATAGCACAAAAGGGAGCAAATGGAATTGTCTTTGCATTTGATGTGAAATGGGATAACATTAATTAAAGACAGAATGTTGTGGAGAAATGAACTGACAACATGGATTCAGTCCGGCCCTCCTGCCCCACTGTCTCACAGCCTCACACTGCCTGTTTATGTTCTGTAAACAACGATACTGCTGACCTGGGTAGCAGTGGGCCTGCGAGCCCACTGGGGCACGGGCCACTTTTGTCTGTCTTAGTACATCAGTAGTCTTTGAAGACTCGCCGCCGCTGCCTGGAGAGAACAAACGTGTCTGCAGTCCCCACGGCTCCTCGAGTCTTCTTCCATCTTCCCTGATCTGCAGTTCAGTTCAGTCGCCCAGTCGTGTCTGCAGCACGCCAGGCTTCCCTGTTCATCACCAACTCCCAGAGTTTACTCAAACTCATGTCCATTGAGTCACTAATGCCATCCAACCATCTCATCCTCTGCTGTCCCCTTCTCCTCCCACCTTCAACCTTTGCCAGCATCAGGGTCTTTTCCAATGAGTCAGCTCTTTGCATGAGGTGGCCAAAGTATTGGAGTTTCAGCTTCAGCATCAGTCCTTCCAATGAATACCCAGGACTGATCTCCATTAGGATGGACTGGTTGGATCTCCTTGCAGTCCAAGGAACTCTCAAGAGTCTTCTCCAACATCACAGTTCAAAAGCATCAATTCTTCAGTGCTCAGCTTTCTTCACAGTCCAACTCTCACATCCATACATTACCACTGGAAAAACCATAGCCTTGATGAGATGGACCTTTGTTGGCAAAGTAATGTCTCTGCTTTTTAATATGCTGTCTAGGTTGGTCATAACTTTTCTTCCAAGGAGTAAGCATTTTTTAATTTCATGGCTGCAGTCATCATCTGCAGTGAGTTTTGAGCCCCCCAAAATAAAGTCAGCCACTGTTTCCCCATCTATTTGCCATGAAGTGATGGGACCAGATGCCATGATCTTAGTTTTCTGAATGTTGAGCTTTAAGCCAACTTTTTCACTCTCCTCTTTCACTTTCATCAAGAGGCTCTTTAGTTCTTCACTTTCTGCTGTGAGGGTGGTGTCATCTGCATATCTGAGGCTGTTGATATTTCTCCCGGCACTTGGCATGGACCAAATGTCTCATGGGCTTCTTGGACAGGACCAAATAGCCTGCAAGGGCAATGACAAGTGTGCTTGTAGGAGGGACACAGAAGGAGATTAGAATGCAGAAGAGAAGACTATATAAAGATGATGGAAGTAGGGAGAAAAGGTAGAGTGATGTAGGATCACAAGCCTAGGGATGTGGAAAACTTCTTCAGGCTCAAAAGGCAAGGATGTAGATTCTCCCCTACAGACTCCAGAAGCTGGCTTTGCCAACACTTTTATTTTTATCCCATAAGACCCACTTAGGGCTTCCCCGGTGGCTCAGAAAACAAAGAATCCTCGTGCAATGAAGGAGACGTGGGTTTGGTCCCTGGGTCAGGAACATCCCCTGGAGAAGGAATTGGCCACCCACTCCAGTATTCTGGCCTGTAGAATGCTATGGACAGAGGAGCCTAGAGAGCCACAGTCCACGGGGTCACAAAGAGTTGGACACGACTGAGCGACTAATGTTTTCACACTTTCACTTTCAAGACCTATTTTAAGTTTCTGACTACCAGAAATATAAGGTAATAATTATTGCTTTAAGTCACTTAATTTTTAAAATAGTTTTTATTGCAGTAGAGTTGATTTACATGATTTACAAGTTTGTATTAGTTTCAGGTGTAAGCAAGGTGAATGTGTTAGACTTTTACATATATCCATTCTCCTTAGATTCTGTTCCCATGTAGGCCATTACAAAGTATCATGTAGAGTTCGCTGTGCTCTATGGTAGGGCCTTACTACTTATCTATTTTATATATAGTAGTGTGTATACTTTCACTTTTCACTCTCATGTATTGGAGAAGGAAATGGCAACCCACTCCAGTATTCTTGCCTGGAGAATCCCATGGACAGAGGAGCCTGGCAGGCTACAGTCCA